AAAAAAAGCAAACATTGATAAATACAGTAAATACATGATATTCATGTAACGTGAAAAAAGATTGGTCACAATTAATTTCAATGTGAATTTTGTGAATAGTGCGACCATTAGCTGAAAATGTTCGAATCATTGAATTGAAATGTTTACACACAGTTGTCTTTGTTGAAGAAAGGGCGTTTATTTGCGAATCATAATTGATAAATCGATTTTTATTATGCAGAGTGCTCGTTAGTCAACTCTCTTTTCGTTCTTAGAAATTTCGTTATTGCACTTGTCCTATTTAAATATATTAAATTAAACCAATCAAATTTAATTATATGATAAATAAAAACATCCAGATCAAATATATTCGAGTTTATGCGTTGAACGATAAATTTTAGATTTTACAGCTATAAAATAATTATTGCTAATACATCAATATTAACGAAATTTGAAACGCTGTTTCTTATAACAAAACAAATATATCACAAAAAATTCGGTGTGTATAATTCATGTTACTTACTGAACATTAATCATATTAGGTTGCCAAGACTTTCCAATGGTCCATTGAGGATAAAACATATCGCTGACACTTTTTTTCTCACTCATCTTTATTACACGTGTTAAAATTTTCCAAATGGTGGAGAACATCGGATGGTTTCAGAGCTTCTCTACATCCTAAAGTCAGATCAACATACATTTCTATACAAGATTGTACAAACGAGTTATTACGTATAATCTAATTGAGGATGTATTTGAAACAGCTTTCACAAAAAATAATTGCGAAATTGGCAAGAGTAAACGAAGATGGAACCATAGACGTAATAAGAATAGACTGTCACGCAAATTTCTATAAAATTGTCACATGAAAAAAAGAATTTTCTTTCTCGTATCTAATCTTGGTTTATTAAAATATATTTGCTACTATAACTATAAATTTACAAACTATGGCGAAATGGTTTGCTATTGCTGTTATAATATAAATATCACGTCTAAGACATTAACTATGACATCCACATTTTAGCTGTCCATATTTTACGCCTATTATTTAGTCATACCTAGTTTTTAGTTACGACAGCTACTTTCTTTTTTCCGTCTACTACGTATCGAAAGTCTACTTTACAGCGAAAATCTATATATGGAAAGAATACTATTATATATATATAGAAAAAGAGAAATAACAAAAAATATCTATTTCTTTCTCTAAAATGTCGAAGAGAGATATCTTTAATTTTTTCTAACGCAACACAAACATTAAGGCTATTATTTATAAGATCTTGAAATAAAAACGAATTACGAATACTAGCTTGGAAAGATCAAGGAATGCGCAGTCCGTATGTCTATGGATGGAATCATATGAGAAACAACTAAACAAAAAAATAAAATTTTATTTATATTTCCTATAAAGCATAATATAGAAAAATAAAGAAAGAGAATAGATAGGAATCTATTTTGTAAGATCCAATTCTCAATTTAGTGAGAAAAAAAAATATATTTGAACCCAATCCTTTTGATGATTCGCCATTAAAATCGCGTAAAATCTTTGAATTAACGCTAAAAAAAAGAAAGAGGTGGATGATTATAATTTTTTTTCAAAAGAGCGATAGATAATTTATAAGCGTGATGTTAATTTACTAAATAACAGTTTCGTCTCTTTTGATTTATATGTTTTTTTTTAACGAATGCGTAGTTGGAGAGTGCGCGATAGGATAGGACAATGAAGTGCGAGACGCAAAACAATCGCCTACCACGTTCGGACGTACACTGACAGGCGTGGTGGGAACCCCTATAACTTATGCGCTTATTGTCTCTATCCTGCATGTAATCTTTGCTTGCATAGGCCAGAGAAATAACAGCCTCCAGCACAGTGTAGTGATTCTTGTACTTGTGTGAGAATGAAGGCGGCGATTTGACATACCTGACACGCGCCACCTTCATTGTCGCATGTAACAAAAAGGTATTCAATTTGTTTGCGATTTATATACGATGCAGCAATTTTCCTTCTTAAAAACGAACACGTGCGGCGTTTCACATATATACTTCGTATGAATTTTTCAACAAACATTTTCCGATTTGAAAATAAATTCGACAGACAGAAGTCGCTGCATTTATACTGGCTTGTCAAAAAAATTCCAAAAATCTCAAAAGTTGTCAAAAATCTTCCAAAAATTAGTTGTTAATAATTTCCAAAGAGAATAAGAAAGTCAAAATAATGTTGCCTAAATCATGACAATAACTTGATATAAATTTGATCGATAATCAATCAATATGACATCAAATTAACATTATTTTGAGTTTCTTGTTCTCCTTGGATTGTATTGTTTCTAAATAAATTTATTCGTCAAAAATTATTTTTGGAGAGTAATTCTACAGAATTTTTTTTTTTTACAACTCGATATTTTGATCATATCTGAATGAGATAGAAATCATAGATGAAAATCAGGATATTAAATTATTGAATACCTACGTGAGACAAGTCAATCGAATATCGAGTAGTTGTAATAAGCGCATTAAACGTGCGCCAGCCTCGAGTGTTCGATAAAAACTAACATGAGTGATAATAGCCGCTTCATGGAAAACGTCAACCCTTAGGATTAGACGTACGTACACGTGGAAACGCGAGTTTTTATGCTGTTTATTCAATACCTTTGTCGACCTGTTATATACATTAAATGAAAGTATGCATCCATCATGCCTTTCACTCTCGCTATCAAGGATGCACTCGCGAAATTGATAAGCGTCAATGCAAATATCAACTTCTTGAAATCTCTAAACAACTGATACGTAGCAAATCTTGATTACCAACGAAAGTGTTATGTTTTGCATTATCAGATATAATCATTTTAAAATTCAAGAAAAAATTCGTATAATTGTGAAACAATTACTGAGAATTAATAATATTAAAATTACTTTTATTAAATTTCGTCTACAAGAAAATGAATTAATAAAAAAGAAAGAAAGAGAGAAAAACTCATAAAAATATAACGATTCACGTAAAAAAGAAGTAGGTTGAAATTCGAATTTGATGTGATTTGATGACTAATTTTATTTATACGAAACAGAGATTCTTTAACGAGATTTTATTTTATTTTTTTGGTATAATTGCTAAGAATTAACAATTAAACTATGATTTCGTTAATTTTTCTATGAGTAAATGGATTAACTGAAAAGAAAAAAAGATATACATATTAAAATGATGATTCGCGTAAAAGTTAAAGAAATAGCTATAGAGATTCAAGTATTGTAACAATAAAGATTTTATTTATATAAAACAAATTCCTTGGGGCGACTGAGATCCTATTTTTTTCTTCTTTTTTTCGGAATGTATTTAATGCGACGACATTTAAAAGTGCGGAAACAGCAACCACGTATCAGTAGTTTGCTGCCACATTTTGCGGAGGACGTCGAGCTCTCATCACTGAAATGGGTCACTAGGCATATTTTCTCTCCCTCCCTCTCTTTCTCTCTCTCTCTCTCTCTCTCTCTCTCTCTCTCTCTCTCTCTCTCTC